GATGTAGTGTGGAGTTGAAGTCCACTCATCTTAAAGTTGCCAAGGTTGAGAAACACTGCACTAGCATCTTCCTCTTTGATAGGAATTAGTATAGGATTATTTTAATAGAATTTATATATATAATAAAAATGAATTTGATATTATATTTGTATTTTTTCCTCCTGTAATTTAAAAAAAAAAAATCTTGATGCCTATTCTGATTTACAATAGAAATGATGGATCCCCAGAAAAATATATTCAGAAAATGACTGTATCCTGGTAAAATAGCATTGTTTAATTTTAAATCTCAGTTATTTCACAGAAATGTCACCAAAAACTCTCTCCCAGTCCACCCATATCTGTGCTTCGGGCATTTTACAAAATAAAATCAACCCAGTATTCTGTAAATATTTCACATGGTTAATTTTTCCACCTTGGATCTGAAAAGAACATGGTACATACATAATGCAAGCCAGTGTGGTACAGTTCTTCAAATGTTAGACTAGCACAGGGAAGTCCACCTTCAACTGTGGAAGCTCATTGAGTGACTTTGGGTTGATCACGATGTCAACCCATTCATTGATTCATGAGATTTAAGGCTGCCCGACTCCAGAGCAACTCTAACTCATAGGGTGGTTATGGTGGAAAATTAGATGAGGGAGTGATATGCACGCTGTCTTGCTTGAAGAAAAGTCAAGATATAAATCTGATGAATTAAAGAGGTACGTTAAGAGGAAATGCATCAGTGCATGCAGACTGCTTGTCAGTGTTTAAACACATCACTTACTTGGCAGGAGATGTTGGAAGGATGTTCTGTAGGAGAAACTAATTTACTGTAATGTATAAACAGCTGTATTTACCAGTTTCATTCAAATAGTCTAATGGGAGGAAGGTTTTATTAATTCTGTTTCTCTGCTGTTCTAGATGAATTGGGTGGCTGTTCTTTCAGTATTATTGGATTCTGCCTTTCCTCCTTTGCCTAGATGTCAGTTAAATCATATCCCCCCATCATCAAACAAACCAGGTTGTCAGAGCTGCTTGCTTTTTCTTTTTCTTTTTTTCTTTTTCTTTTTCTTTTTTAAAATGATCGTACAATATAACCAACGTCTGCTACTTTTTATCTCTGTTTACATTGGTGGGTAATTGTAATGCAGGAGTTCTTAGTAACAATGCATATGAATACCAGAGTACATGTCAACATACTCACCAGATACCCTAATCACTTCCCAGCATCACAACTTCTCATAAGATTCCAGCAGTTGGAATGTCTGGAGGATGTCTAGGCCATCACAATAACTATACAGTGGGGCTTGGGACTAGAGAATTATGACATAATGCTGTATAGAAGGATGCGATAACTTATTTTAAGAAGAAAAGTATTGTCAATGTTCATCTGTAAGTAAATGCAAACTGCAACATACGTGGAATACCTCAGATTTAGTTTAAAATAAGGGAAATGGGGAACTTCTCAGAGGGCCATTGGTGTAAGGCAGATTCAGATCTCCTGGTGTGTGGGCTTCCTGAGCATGGGCATTGCTGAACATTTTGGAAATTGAAGTCTCTGCATTCTCTTTGGGAAACAGTGCCACTACTGATGCTCTGTTTCAGTATCCTGCTGTAGAAGGCTACCCATACACACTTTATGCTAACCACAATTAACACTGGCCACCACAATCACCTGGAATCAATTCTTATAAAGTGAATGGACACCTACATATTTACAATTAATGGGGGGAATGGCTAGCAAGGGCACTGAAATTTGTCTTGCCTGCTTCTGAGTTTTGCAGGATCCAAGTATTTTTAAGATTACGTGCAACATCAGGGCTAGAAATTGTTAATCAAAGGATCTTGGGATGCTTAAAGCCTTGTGGGAAAAAAGCCACATCTTTAGAGGCTTGAGGAAGTCAGCCTAGTAAGTCGCCTATAAGTCCATAGTGTGTCTGACTGGTTTTGCAGTGCAATTTCAGAGAGATCTATGAGATCAACAACAACAAAGTCCAGTTTGGGCTTTCACTGACATGTAAATTCAATTTCCAATGTAAATGAGGCCACTAAGGGGGTAGCATTGTAAATTCAGGCCCTCCTGATTGTCACACTGCAGTCTGTCTTTCACACTACTTCCACATATAATTTTAAGCATGATTCTTTTTGAATGTTTTAAAGTCAGGACATGTTAGGCTTCCTCTGTTCCACTTCATTGGGAGCAATTGCTCCTGAGGCTGTTCTGCAAATTTACTTCATAAAGTTGCTACATCTTCTCTAAACTGTTTGATTGGAAGGAGACTTGGTCACTAGTGTGTGCTTGTAACTGAATAGTCATGTCCTACTTGCTCTCTTTTGTAAAAACTTCTTCATAATCAGATGTTAGGTGCAGACTGAGGATGGTTTCAAAAAAAAAGAAAAGAAAAATCAGGTGTGCATTTAATATTTACTCTTTAAACTTATATTTGTATTTTTTTAAAAAAACAAGTGAAAAAATTAATACAAAGATACAATATCAGTAAGTGGACAGAGAAAGAAACTTAAATATTGCTAATAGAAGAGAATATATGTAGGTCAGGGCTGAACTGTGGAGTCCTTGGGGTTCTCTGAGCTTGGTTGTTTTCTTACAAATGTTTCATTACCTGGCTAGGTAACATTTTCAGTGTTAGAAGGGAGTGGGGTTTGCTCTCTGTTTATATACAGTAGCTTGCCTTGCCAGTGTTGGTGGGGGTGTGGTTCCCTCCCCCCGCCAGTAGTTTTTTGATTAGGGCATTGTTTACTGCTTGATTGTTTGGTGTTAATTTTGGTATTCATCTCTGCTTATCTGGGTGATGATTGCTGGTGAGGAGATGTTCTGGTCTCTTGTTTCCTTTGTATTGTCTCTTGAATAGTGTATAGTGTGTAGATGTTGTTTATGTGCCTGCTGATGGCTGACTTGTCTGAATACCAAACTTCTAGGAATTCCCTCACATTTTTGGATTTAGCTTGGTCTAAGATGCTGATACTTTGGGCACCTAATGTGAAGAGAGGACTCTGGAAAAGACCCTGATGCTGGGAAAGATTGAAGGCAAAAGGAGAAGGGGAAAGCAGAGGATGAGATGGTTAGATAGCATCACTGAAATAATGAACATGAAATTGAGCAAACTCGGGAGGCAGTGAAGGACAGGAAGGCCTGGCACGATGTGGTTTATGAAGTCATGAAGAGTTGGACACGACTTGACGACTGAACAACAACAGCAAAGATGCTGACAGTTTACCAGCTGAAACTATGGTTAAGTCTCCATGTGTTGTAAAATTAAGGAGTTTTCATCACATCTTCTGACTGCTAGTTGGTGTTCACGGATGCGCTCTGCTAGCCTTCTGCCTGTCTGTCCTATATAGGACATTATACATTAAATATTACTTTGAGAGAAATAAGAGTACAACTTAACAGGGAGGATATTTGGACATTTTATTTATGTACTGCTTCAGTCTGCATATTCTGCTAGTATTACTTTTCTTCGCTTCTCATAGGCTCTCAGTACTTTCCTACACTTTTCTTTTTTTAAACTTTTTTGTTTGTTTAGTAAGATGTTTTCCCACAGCAAACTGTATCCAACACAGTGTGAAATAAACATTAATTAGTTATCCAAATGTATACCACCTCCCCTCCCAAATAGATTTGCAAAACATCAATTCAAGTGACTCAAAGTCCACCATTGAATAATTGGGGGATCAATTCACAACTAAAATATAGGATCTCAACTTAGCACAGAACACAGGTAACATTAAGTTTTCTGGGCTCAGTACAGAACATTGAGCAAACTCCATGACTGCATTAACATAACATAGCAAGGGTTCTCTTTGTATTATGTTAATGACTTATCCTATCCTGTCCTTCCCTGAGTGGGTGAATACGGTACTGCTTTTTCAGGGGTACTATAACAAGTGTTTTAAAGAGATTTCTTTTTAAAAAATAATCTTTTTTAATAAACATGATCAGGATTAGCTTACCTTATGCAAAACTGAAGTGTGTTTTCTTTTCTTTTTTTAATTAGAGATTACTGAATCTTGTCTGGTTGGGAAAAAGATTTCTCCCAGTTTCCAGCCTGGTGCCTTAACAACTACAGCAAACTGGTTCTAGGTAATTTAAAAGAACTCAAAAAGAATAGCTCTACCCAATGTAGAGAGCAGTGAAAGCAAAAAAAGATGGGTTCATGCTGTGGGGAGCAAACATTGGCATATGATGTGCAATGCAGTACTGTATCTCTGCAAAAGTGACATTTTTGGTCATATTGGAGAACCAAGATTATGCCTGCTCTGTGATCTCCCATGTCTTGTTGGCACAGTGATCTACACATGTGATTTTATGCCTTTCCCAAAGGAAAATACAGATGGTAGTCAACAGCTTGCAGTGTTGGGTGATAATACATAACATGTGGAGGTTAAGGCAAGGGGTGCGACCGGGGGGAGAAGTCCAATGCCACATCCTCCTTTTGCAGATAGTAAATGCCGTCTGTGTAGAGTTAGTGCCATTCACTGCAATCTGAACACGTACAACCTCATAATGTTTGCCACTGTGTTGGATTTTCTGCAGACCATTAGAGGCATATAATCAAAACATTGTTAGGTACAGTGAGCACACTGATAAATGTTTAGACAGGAAGCAACAAAAGTGGTTGTAACTTCTAACTGCTAAGCTTAATGCAGGTAGCTGGCTGTCCAGGTGGATTTTGCAACAATAAATCATCCTGTTGATATGTTCCTGCCAGCCATATGTGTGTGCCAAGATAACTTATGTGGCATTATTTTTGCATGCATAATAAGTGTTATACTTTATGTAGTCAGGCAGTATTTCCCCTCAAGGATTAGAGGATTTTTTTTCCCCTCTGTGTTTCTTCCTTTATAGGCTCCAAAAAAATAATTTGTAGACACTTCTCT